TGACTTTATATTTGGATAAAGAAAAAAAAGTTGGTTATTTAGGGAACAATAGACATGTTTGGGCATGCTTTATTCAAACGTGACTAGACGTGTCTGTTAGCAACTTGATTTTTCCAAATCTTTGTTAATTTAGGAACAGATTTGTAACATAAATAATATATTTTTGATAATTAAGCATGTCTATAGTGGGTCCCACAGTGGACGAGTGAATCTCGACATGATTGATCAACTTTTCAGTCAGTTACCACTTAACTTTGGCTACACATGTATAAGTTATATAAGTATATTATTATTTAAAATAATCTTTAAATTAAATTAATTGAGGATAAGAAAGGAAAAATATTTGGGTCAAAATATATGCATGTGAAGTCCTGCCCACCGCGTGATTAATTAACATACTGTATCTGTTGGGAAATGAGGCTTGTGCAAATAAAATAAGGTATGATGATTATATATTATACAGTAACGAGGGTGTACTGACTTTCTTTCGTGGTACTTGCTCCATTAGGTTGTCATATTTTAGTTTAAGCCCAATTCCTTAAGCCCACTAATATATTTTGGGTTAGGGAAAAGAAGTATGTAACATTGGACACGGCAATTGGGCCGGGTCGGCTGGCCAACCCAGTGAGCTTCATCCGTTGATCAGCAGCCCACGCCCATTAACCTGCGTTTTGTAGTTGTCAAAATTTCATGAGTTACTCTCCCGACTTTCTAATCCACCTATATATTAATTGAGAACGTGTTGAGCCTATGTGGCAGTCTCGCATGCTTCGGGATCCTATGTGGCAAAAATACATGTTTCATTATTAGGCTTGGGTAGATTTAGTTTACTTCTAATCCAAATATATTTAGGTTTGGATTATCTATAATATGTTGATTATTTATGGTAGGGGTTGGCGCCGGCCGAGACGGTCCTGGATTTGACTTGTCTGGATATCCAACCCACTTTTATGAATCCGCCCATGAACGGTCCGGATGAGGCACCGTCCTCACCCATGTAATACATGGGTGTTGTACTAGTCCCCCTTATATATTAATTCAGAACGCGTTGAGCCTATGTGGCAGGTTCGCATGCTTCGGGATCATATGTGGCAAAATTTCATGTTTCGTTATTAGGTTCGGATTATCTATAAATATGTTGATTATGTATTATAGGGGTGGGTGCGGTCCGAGACGGTCCTAAATTTGACTTGTCCGGATACCCATCCCACTTTTATGAATCCGTCCATGAACGGTCCGGAATGAGGCACTGTCCCCACCCATGTAATACGTGGGTGTTGTACTAGTTGAAACTTTATATCAGAAATACGAAAGTGATATAAATTTTATTCATATAAGAAGTTTTATTTATCCCCATCCCCACTATACTTATCCTTCCCACCGTCATCCCTCCACTTCCTCTTCCGATTACTCATAATCCCCGATTTCTGCCGCTTTTTCAGCTCCATAATGTCCCGCAAGAAATTCTTCGCCTGACGTGCCAGACAATCACGTCGCTATTGTCAACCTCGAAAAGCCCAATCTTGAGGATGAACTTGAGGTGTTACTTCATCGCATGTGATGAACGAGTGATAACTTCGGTGAAATAAATAATATATTAATATGAACGAGCGCAAACTTCGGTGAAATAAATAATATATTAATTAATTATTGATTATCAGTAATCGAATTAATTAATAAACATTATATCTTAAACATGGAAAGGTAAATCGGGTAGTTATAATTGGAGTATTAAACGTAATTTGGGCTAGGAAAGGGGAGTGCAATAATATTACATTAGTGGACCGTAATATTATTTAAGTAATTGGAAGAGTGGGTCTGACCTACAGTTAGTCCATTACTTAAGAAGTCATATTCCTAATCTCCTAATGATCCCTACTGTAGCTCTATATATACATCATTAAGCTCATGAGAAGAGATCCATTATCTCACAATTATACGTGAGAATCGACCGCCTCATCTCATCTCTATCTAGATCACATTCGACCTTTATCTTCTTCTCGTTGCTCCATCGGTACGAGTTGAAGAGGTGTGTAAGTAATACAGTAGAAGATCCCGAAGGTAATCGAGACCCCATGATCATCTACAGAAATCGACGAACCACGACCCGAAGGCCGAGAATCACCGACCCGACCTGCCAGACGACCGCCGTGAGCCAGTCGGAGATCCGCTGCACACGGCCAGCCCGCGACGAGCCCGGCTACACGACCCGATCGCACGCGACGATCCGACCCCGCCATCCATTCGTGTGTTGTTCCCGGTCAACCCGAATTCGATAAATTCAGAAAATTTTAAGCCATAAGTTTTCTACGTCAAACCTTTAGATTCGCTGCGCATAGGTTTACGTTTGCTATTGAATTCGTAACTTGTATATAACGAGATCCTCATAGATCCCAACAACTGGTTCAGGAGCAATCGTAAGAATCAAATTCGCCGTGAGGTAGTGATTGAGCCCACTGTATCCAATCCCCTTTACCCTTTGGATCTTAGCATTTTTATATGGATTAAAATTGTCCTCCCTCCAATGACCAAAGTTTTCGGCTTGTTGCATCGTATGTACCCATTACCCATAAGAAGAAGACTCGGAAGCACTAGAAACAAATGACGTCGGATTTTCTCCGATTTTGATTTTTGTTTTTCTAAAAAATTCATACAATTAAAGTTTTATTTGCTCGACGAGCTGCCATGGATTAGGTCTTACACTGATAGTCGGGACATCAATAGGACGTGAAAGTAAAACATATTATCATATTATGTGTGAAGTTTGTTGGGCAAGCCATATTCACGTAATGACGGATCTAACAAAGATGTAACTAAAAATATATCAAAAAATAAATAAAAAAAAAACTATTTTAGTTGTTTTCTTGACATATCTCTTACAAGTTCGGCGTGTTTGTAAAGATCATTAGCAAAAATTTCTCTAAAATCCCACATTACTGCTACACAATGACTTACAACAAGTTCAGCAATACGATAATATATACCGGAAAGTAAGTTAGTGGCATCTTGAAATGTTTCTAAAAATTTTAAAAAGTGCTTGAAAATCTAACCAATCAGAGACTGCAACAATGATATCACAATCCTTACATTGAGGACTCTTAGAAAGTTCATCTAATTGATAAGAAAGTGCAAACGTTTTCATTAACATTTTATATGTTGAGTTTCAATGGGTTGGTATTTCGAGTTGGAATATCTTTTTCTTTACAAAAATGTCCTTATTTTTTCATTTCTTGCGGACGGCGATATAAATAAGTAACGTAATTCCTAATAGGCGTGACCTTCTCTTTCAAAGCATGATACCCCACTTGAACACAAAGATTAAGAACATGGCATATACACCAAATATGAAAAAAATTTCCCCACAAAGGTGGTGACAAATTTCCTTAAGCTCGGGTATAGATGCAACATTATCAATATCAAAAGAAATGGAAAAAAGTAGTTTTTTTTTCTTCGATTTTATACGTATTCAAGACATGCGAAATTAAACGAGCGATATTAGAAGTAATGTGCGCATTAGGAAATTCCGTATATGCAATAAACGTTTTTGTAATGTAAGACTATCATCTACTCAATGATAAGTAATCTCATGTAAAAATTACCTTGCCAATGGTCAGACCAAATGTCACGATAAATAGAAATTCTTTGGTTTAAAATTCCAAAAGTTTGCGCCAAAATTATTTGTTTCTCACTCACAATACTTTGAATATCACGAGTGAGAGTAGTGCGTGAACCCGAGACGCGGTTGGGTTTAAAGTCATTTGAGCAAAATTTTCATATAAATCGGAATCAATAAAGCCAAAAGGAAAAGTCGAAGCAGAAAACAATTCAGCTAGTTTTTTTCAATTGTTTTCATGGAAGTATTAGAATAAAGTAGAAGACATACCTGTGGATGCAGTGCTACTCCTGCTCGGGACCTTGAATTGTGTTTCGATCGTGGGAATCTTCTTTTTGGCAAGATGATGTGATCGTATGTGCCATTGCAATGTTATATACTCATCATCGGTTTTGAAAGCGTACTTCTTTTTGGAATCGAGCGGACAATGGTTGCAAATACGTATAAAATGTTGGTCATTTTTTCTTTCTCATTGGACACCTTCTTTCGGCGTCAGCAATGGAAGTCTACTCGAAGACGATTTGCCTACATTTTTACGCTTTTGCGATGGCCGATTACCGACACGACCACCAAAAGCGTAAAAATATAGGTGAATCGTCTTCGAGTAGAATCTGAACCAAAATAAGAGTGAATGTATAAAATCTGGAGTCCGGGGCCGAATTTATATAGAATCGGATTGATTTATAGGAAACCGAGCACACAAACTAAAAATTAACACTTCAAGAACTTAGAAATGAGTATAGAAGAGAGGAATAATGGTGTAAAAAATCTGAGTTTT